ACGCAAGTATTCCAAAACGAACGATAATCCAGCACGGAAGCACGTCACCTCTAACTTATGGCCAAGTGATTTATTTGTGTCTATTTCTGGCCAGCTGTAGGTGGTCGCCAAGTAGCACTTCGGCGTTCATAATGTCTAAAAGGGCTGTTCCGCGCACAGCTGCAACAGACGCTCACCGGTGTCCGTACGATCGGAGTTAAGTGCCTATTTACCACCTGACTGAGCTTCTGAAGACCTCAAACGATCTACTTTCGCACTCATATCTCCTGCAACAATAACGATATCTGGACTGGTAACACTGCATAGCAACATGTTCAGTTTGTTGTAGAAGGTGTTCATGGCAGCATCAAAGCTGCAGTCGGTGGGTGCATAAGCGGGAATTACTACTTCGTGTATCGACCTTACTTGATTTCCTAAAACTTACTGCACACAAACGATTGCTCACGGGAATCCAATCAACCAACAATGACTCAGCCTTGGAACTGAGAACGATGCCCACCTCAGCTTGGCCAGTAATTGCCGCATAAACGTCGCCGGATGTGTGCAACTGATAGAGAGAGGACAAGCCGGGCTAAGTTAGTTAAACAACCCCTTGGGCTCATTGATTTTATTTTCGGACACAACCTCAATACCCATGGTGTCTAACGGGTGTGCGAGTTCCGCCTGTTGACCTATTTGTTTTAGAATACGAATGTTGAACGCCGCCAGGGAAACGGAACAGTGTGGTTTTATAAGGAGCTGTTAGTTATTGGTGTCTGGTATATGGTGCGAGAAGATAGCTGTAGATGGTATGACTCCAGGGGCATTTCGGCTGCTGCGAATCATAGAAGGAAGGTTTGTAGTGAGGGTTAAGAAAAAGTAAAAGAAACAGGTGGAAAAGATAGAAGAGATGTGCCAGCAGTAGCATGTTTTCTCTTACGCACTCTGCTGTCTACCAGAAATCGGGCGGCCCTTGATAAACTGCGCGACGGCTGATGCATGATTTGGTTAAAGAAATAATCATGGTTGTACGTAGGCTGGTACTGCCAGGGCGCCCAAACCTAGACAGGAGGACGATTGGGGCCCGCAACCAGAGCCTTTGGCTCAAAAGCCTGTCCACAAGGCAGTGTGGAAGTGGCAATGATTAACTTTTACAGTGATGGATGCCATCCTATTACACACTCCCAACCTGGAGGACTAGTTGACTGAGTTTGTCTGGCCTCTAACCATTAATGAATCTGGTAGAAGTAGCTTTCAAAAGGTCCTGGGACATCGACTAGTATAGTACAATGGGTCGAGAGGTATGCAAACCGTCGCACCACGTTAAGGTCCAGTCTCGTTGCGAAGTGCACCAACCAGCAATGGCCGTCAAGCACGCAATAACATTAGCTAACCAGCACACGTATAGACCAAATGCGGTGTTTAATCTACTGATATTCCACATATGTTGCACTATTGGCCCGAGCTAGTAAATAAAAACAGAAGTAATGTATTTGCACTGCGCTGACATTTACTCGTCACCTCTTCTATGTTTTCTTCTCATAATCACGTTGATGACTTGCTAAACGTGCTCGGTTGAGGCACATGCTCGCATTCGCTGCATATTCAGGCACATGACTAGACTTCAGCGTCACCTAGCGCTTGCGTAACTTGATTCGGTAGCTCTTTCTCTAATGCATCTGGGCAACGGCATTCTAGATGTGAACATGCCATTGGCGGCGATCCGTTGCCGTTTGTTCCCGTCAACGTTAGTTTATGTTAAACTTACCTTGATCATTCTCTGATAACTTACCTGTACTCAATTTGTCATACGGCTGACGTCCACCACACCTCAGGTGTAATAATATCGGTATACAGTCTATACTTAACCTTCCGTGTCGGAGGGCATTTCTGTATCGGGAGCTGTGTCATGTCAACAAGCGCGCTGAATCCGGCGCAAACATTATAAATGAAATACTTCTTGACATCAAATATCTTTCATATATAGTGTCCGCTTTTCCCGGTCACAGAGAAGTACCGACAGTACCACTGGTCTCTATGGCATCAATTTAGTTCCAGAGGTTAGCTAATGCTTCTTTTAGGCCCGGTGCTCCAACCTGCCTAAAGCGGTACGCCTTCGATACACTGGTGTGCAATTCGTTGATCATTTGCAATGCTGCTGACAGCATGTTCCTGAGGTAGGAAAAGTTTAATGTGGTCTCCAAAACCACAGCAACAATCTTGCTTTGCTGACAGCTCACGGACTCTGTTCCTGGTGCTAGCTGAAAAAGACAGTTTTACTTGTGTTTATGGTGAGTCCGAGCTTGGCCGCCGTCGAAGCGAGTGCCGTCTTCATATGTTGCAACTCATCCTCGATGTGTGCAAACAACGCGCAGTCGTCTACAAACAACAGCATCCGAATGGTTATCTCACGCACTCGGGTTCTCACCCGAAACGATAGCTTTTCCGCAACCTACCATCAACGCGGTACTTGAGACGGACACAGTAATCCTAATCATTGAAAGCACAGGACATCATGCCATTTAGATGAATCTTAAACATGACAAGGGTTAGGACAGCCTTGTTTCGCACCAGGGACACATCATAATCATCCGAGGTTTGTCTACACATTTGCACGCTCACCCGCATACAACAGTGGAAGCATTTAATTAAACGAAAATATTTGCTAGGGTATCCAAACTTACCCAAAACCATCCAGAGCAGCTCGCGATCCTCCGTGTCAAACACCTTGATAATGTTGAAGAACAGAGAGCGCGAGCTCTGACTCCGCTCACGGCTATTCTGCCTTAGTTGACGAGCTGTGAACACCATATCTATCTTGCTGCGGTCCGAACGGAATCCCCAAAACCTTTCGACGTAACTTGGTAAGTTGATGTCGCGATTATTGTTGGCATATTGCTTATGCTAATACTGCACAAAAACATCGTTCAGCCCAGTGGGCACATGTTTTTTAAACCAAACACGTTCCAAAAATTGGTGCAGCACATGCATCGTCGCAAGTCCTCCGCTTTTAGTACTTCTGGCAGTATCCGTTCGGCACCGGCACGCTTGCCGTTTCACAGTTGAGCAAGTTTTCTCTGCGTTTCATAGAGTATCGCGATGTCAGCAAGAATGTCCTTCATATCTTGTTGCAGCCCGTGCAAAGTATCCCAATCAGCCTCCGAGCAGTTAATCGGGAGACCGTCAGTGTTTCGCCACATTTGCGTGATCTCTGTGGGGCAGCATATGCGGGATAGATTGGATATTGATACTTCAACACCTGATTTCACTCAGATATGTCCGCCGTGTGGATGCGACGCGGATACCGAAATACCTGCTGTATGGCCAACTTTGCTCATGGAAGCGAAATGTAGGCAAGCCTAAGCTAGGTTTCAAAGACATATTCACGGTGAGTTTATCACGAACTAGCGTTCACTTTATTTGTTTAGGAGCAATGACAGTGAATAGCTGCTAATGGCGTGATCACATAGAGATTGCCGTTGTTTAGCTGCACTAGAAAGGATTGTTGCACCATGAAGAAAAACGCCGGTTGCGCAAGCGTCAGGCACCGATGGAGGCCAGCCCATCGGCGTCGAGCAGCTTGGGCTGTAGTACATGTGATCGGTTGTATCTCAGCCGAGCCAGTTTGGTCAGTCCTCAACGTGGTCAAAAATAGCCCACTGACAAAGAGGCGACGAGTAAGCTAAAAGGGTAAGTACCAGCACTTGATAAGTACGCTGTTTCGGCTTTCTCTTACTAACCCAGGCCACTAATGCGGTCGATGTAGCACATTGGGTTACATCATCACTGCAGTTACTCTGTACGTATGCCTGTGTGTTTATTTTCTCACATTCTGGATGCTTGCTTTTTAATATCCCCGGTCTAGCTGTGCTTGGTGCGAGTGTTGGCAAAGCGCTTACCTTCCAAAAACCGTCATTTCGATTACTGGCCAAGAAGACTATTGATCGTTGCTGAGGAAGAAAGGGACACAGTCTGCGTGACAATGCTTGGCTCTAAAAGTGGTTCCATCCAGCGTGGAACGGGTTAGGACCCAGCCGCCTCTCTATGTATGTTTGCCTTTTTCAAACGAATTATGAGCATGTTGAAGGAGTGTGAACCAGCTCTGTATCAGTCGTAGCTCTCATCTACACCGTGTGGCGTGTGGATGGCGCAGTCCGAGTCACCCATACTCCCACAGTAAGCACAAGCGTTCTGTGGCTGTTCACAGTCTCAGTGACCGGCAAATCCGGAAGCCAATTCAGCCCATCATATATTTATCCACATTTTTAGTCCAATTTCTCCTTCGTCGACTGCTTCATCATGATAAATTCGACTGGCGTTCCTCCTTCAATAAATATGTCGATTAGCCGAGGTCTGCAGTTCTCCTTGCAATCATGTCTTGCATTCATACTCAATTTTTTTTAGATTTGGCCTAATCATTACTCGTTCTAGTTACACGCAGTCTAGCACCAAACATCGCTTAATCGGGCAGACTGCAGAATTCCTCATCTTTATGCCACTTTTCTCGTATGTCATTAACTTGATACTGCGGCGCCTGAATAGCGAGTCAACTTCGTGATGGTCTTCGTTGTTCGCCTACTTCAGTAGTCCTTCCTTTGTTTCAGTACACATTTATGCAAACGATGTGTTGTTGCCATCACTCACGTGATAGCATTTGCAGGCTTTACTTAAGGCGCACCTGAATGTCGTCTGAACAATAATTCCACTGAATCCGGCTTATTTACATACTACTGTACGTTTCACTATAAGCATAACCACTCGTCAAACATTTGTTAATTTATTCTTAATTAAACTGGCAGTCCACGAGTACGGTGTGGTACCCGTTCGTCTTAATATTAATTAGCAACTTGGTTTCACATGATCAGTTCAACTGACTAACCGGTACACTACGTTGTAAGCATTAGAACTTCTGTTTCCGCTATAACTATACAAAATACTGTTCACTGTACTCATGTGGCTACCATTTCATTTTGCTACTTAGGTCTGTTTGGTACTCCTTTCCCCTACGTTTTCTCGCACAGGGCACACCAAAGAAAGGGAACAAATTAGGAGCAGCCAAGATTACGACAGACTTTGCTGCAATCGAATCAGCGGCCGAAAATGCGGATCTTCAAAAACAGCAGCAAGCAGCCCTTGCCGAAACGCTAGCTCATCAACAAGTTGAGCAAGAAGCGGAACGGATGTAAGTTCCAGCTTTCGGTTCTTTGATGTCATCTCATTATCACTTTTCTGATCACCTTGTGTTAGATACCTTTGGTTTGGCAGAAGGTTTATCAGGCTTTGTGGCACTCGTGATGGGCGCTTTGTTTCTATTTGTTTGTCCCAGCAAATGTAATTCACTTCCTGTTCCTCACCTGGTCTCTCCTTCCTATTTTATCGGTCATTTTATACGGCATTTATAGAGAGAGCTGTGCCCCATGCTGAGGCTGATGTTGCATTCTTGATGCTTCTTCTCCGTAGTTGGGCTAAACCAACTTACACTTAAACTAGGTTCTTTTTAAGCTGGCTAAATTTTATTCCGCTTTATTTGGTTTGTTCTGCCTCCCTGAATAATGTTCTATTAACTGGCCACGTTGCTTACACTAATTGCGCTTATCTTCGGTAATTTTGTTGCGTTTGTAGCATTTTAAGTAACTTGTGGACATTTCTTACTTATCACGGATTTGTTGCTAACCAACTTACTTCATATGGTAATTTAGCGAAGAGTTATGCCACCGTATCTGTATGCATTATTGGATTTATTTAATTTCAGCTTGTCGTTTAAAGTGTATGGCTGTTGTTTGATATCCCTGGTATGGTTGCGCTTGATGTGCATGTTGACAAGGTGCCTACCTGTCTATTACCCACTACATCGTTCATACTGGCTCCAGGAGACAGTTGGTCGTTGCTGGAGGGGACGGGGTGTACGGTTCTTGTGGCCGTGCTAGGCTCGAAGAGCGGTTCCATGCACTCAGTGTGGAGCGGACTACGGTCCAGCCACCGCCTTGTGTGCGGTTGATTCCCCAAATACAGCGTGCTTGTGTTTGCCTGTGAAGGAGTGTGGGCCGGCTCCGTTGATGAAACGTGGTTCCCATCCGCATGCCTCCCGGTCTTATTCCTTCGGGTTTACACTGGATATGGGGTATGTGGTTGGAGCTGTGGTGGTGCAGCGCAAGCCATCCATGGTCCCTCTGTAGGCGCAGGCGTCCTGTGGCTTGCCACAGTGACAGGCAAATCCGAAACCGGATGCCGCTAACCATAGAGAGAGCACTTTGATGATTATACACGCTGCTCTTCATCTTCGTCTATGAATATCTTTGGCCGCGCGGTCACATTCGATACTCCGAGAGCACACTACTAGACTGAAGCATGTTTGATTTCGTTCACTGTGATTCTAGTGGATTCTCTTTAAGTCCCTCCGATTTGTGTCTACCACAGTGGTAGTTAGCTACGGTTTATTCTTCCATTTGCTTTGAACACTGATTACTCTGACTTTCTGTGCCATGTTAGTTATACGGCCTTTTAACAATCACTCTTCCCTGAACCAATTCATTCTTCTGTTTTCCTTCGTTGTTCCTCCTTATTGGAGTGAAGTGTCCACCGAGCGATTCGCATGTACCATTCTTCTCGTTTTACAGCGCATCGCTTCGCCTCGCTTACAAAGAGATAACCGACGAACGAGAGAGGAAGGAAATTGCTTTGAAAGCGGTGGATCCAAAACGAGCCGAACAAGTGGAACGTCTTGGTATGAGCAGTGCTCACTTGGGAACTCGGTGAGTGTTTACGGCTTACGCTGAGTTCCTGCAATTGCTTTTTGCTCCGATTTACTTCCATTTATTTTCGATTAATCCCATATTTTTGCTCGTAATCGCTTGTGCTGGTGGACCCGATAGTTGAATGCTGATAAAGCTCCTTTCTAAACCGACCCTGGTACATCGCCCAGCCACAGGACGTTCTTCAAATCAAATGGAAAGTTTATAAAAGATTTTGTCGCTATATGGAGTCTTTACCTGCTAGTTCTAGTAGTTATTACGCAAAGTGCCATTTGCTTCGCAACTTTACAATCCAGTAAGTTCCTAACCACTAGCATGGCTTATTCTTTGGACCCTCTGCAGGAATCCGACCAATCCCTTCAGTGAAGCCTCTTTATCCCCCTTCTACACGCCAACATTCATCTAACCAGGTGCGTTATTGAGGAGTACTGTACTGTTTTAATGGTTGACAGGTATCCGAAGTCCGTAATCCAGTCAATGCAAACGGCTCATTTTCAAAAGACGATCCAATTTGACACCAGGGGTTTGTTACCAACACAGAATTGCGAACCTTTTAATTGCTGACTCGTTGGTCCCACTGGGTAGTAGCTTCGCTACTCGGAGGTCGGTTGTCAAATCGACACCTCGCGAGGTCTAACACATTATTCACTCATTCGATCCATATACTATCTCTGCTCGCGCTACAGTCCTGCATAACCTACTAGTGTTCCGCATGTGCTCCCTAACCTGTTTGGTGATTTGGTTACCAGAGATGATGCAAACATTTGGAAAGTGAGATGACCAACCAGTGCTAATGGCTGTTCATCGATGATGTGAACAAATGACTCGTCGACCTACTACCGCCCCATTGACTTACAATATAAGTGTGGGAGCTACATAGCTGGCTGTACTACGCTTCGCGTCGTTCTGTCCAAAAGCTGTTATATGCCAACCAAGTCTAACCCCATATGGACCATGCCGTTCGCGTTTTGCGAGGTTGTCACAAACAAAATCTCTATTGCCGAAGGCACAGAGTCGTTAGCTTGGAATACGCTTAGATCCGATCGGGGAGTTATCATTTCAGAAGGCATTGTGAACAATTTGTCCTTCTTGTCACACCACATTTGTTGGTAACCTGGACTTTCATACAACCACTGGATTACAAGATATCGCTGAATTTTCATAGCACGCCCTTTGGAGATAGACACTGCTACAAAATGACTTGACACGTTTAAACGGAATTGCCTTTGAAGTCAATGGAGACGACCATGGTGCTCATTTACTATGTATGGCTCACTTCCCCACCTGACAAAGTGTAGACGTTTGGTCAGGGAATCCTCTGCCAGGGCGAAATTCATTGTGAATTTCACTGATTCCACCTTCCTGAAGCCCGTGGAGTCACTGAAAACTGACGCATGCAAGAAATCTGAAAGCAACTCATTAAAGTTGATGCCTCGACGATACATACAGAGCATACAGTTAATCATTTTGCTCTCTTTGGAATTTGGGTGTATGGTCAACGACTTCTAATCTAAACACAGCTCCAGACACCCTATGGATCAGCTAGGCCAATAAACAGTACATTGCCACTTACCTTCATGTATGCCATCAATTTAACACTACTAGTTCATGTCGGGTTTCTTCTGTTTTCTGGTGTGTCCGGACCGTCCATTAAACATTCCATACAGTTTGTTGTTCTACTCTGTAAATTGTTTAGCCTAGTGTTCTAACCGGCCAATCTGAGCCGAGATAATTTGTCTATTTTTCTCTTTGCTTGGTAGTGCATTCACCTGCTGCCAATTACGTCGATCATATTCGACCCACGGCTCTTTTCTACCTACTACGGCTCTCGATTGACCTTCGGGAGCCTAGCTGAACGCAACAAATTTTACTCTCTTTACGACACATCGGATGCGATCTTAATAATCTTCGTACTTTTTTCTTCGTTCATCAGCAATAGTCGCTTCATGTAGATCCAATGTGTCACAGACGTTCACCATATGTAACTTAAGGTCATGCAGTTAATCTAAGTCCAGGGTGTTTTCTCGTTTGGTGGGGACCAGGTAAGATTATGTAAATATTTCTACTGGAAACTATTGACGATAATGCCGTAATTATGATCACAATGCAGTGGATCATCATTATTAATACAATGGAGGACAATTTCGAAGCGCGTTCTTTTGTGATGTTCAATCCCAGATATTGTATATTTACTCATCCTTCTGGTCAGTGTCACGAACTCCACCCACTTCACCTGCATTTTCCATTGTTTGACAGATTTCTCCTTCGCCTGTAATGGAGTTGGAAGTGGGATCGCCCGCTTTCTATAAAAAACGAGCTACTATCTCCCACTAGCTTCTCTATCAACATATTATGCTTTTCCGATCGTAGTGACCAAGTCTGGGTAAAGTAGCCACCCCTATACCTTGCACAAATGTGTACCATCATGCTGTCGTTCTGTTTTCACTGTCCATCCTAGTTCTCTGGCCTGGGTCACTTGGTGTGATTTAAGTGAAACGACTTCTCTGCCCTTGCTTTTGCCTAAACTGATTTCGAGTCCTCCATACAATTTTTACCAACTGGTTGGCTTGACCTCTGTTACACTGCCCTAACGCTTTGAAACATCTTTTGCCTAGAATTCTCAGGATTTGTAAGAACTGTTGTTGAATGAGTAGAACTCACAAGATGAACAAGATCAGTGGCGTTAAAAGCAGCAAACTACTGTTCTACCACGTTCGATCACGGGTCTGAAAAGGTTTCCTTCAAGCGAGACAATATCTGATGCAGCCGGTTGGTTCATCCACGTCCCGAGATACACCACACTAGACAATGAACCGAGCTGTTTTTAAAACAATTCAGCATGTCTACTGTGTCATGATTGTTATTCAGGTTACCTAAACCACCTGAGACGCGGTAATTACAGTCCCAGTCTTGGTGAGATCAGACGCCAAGTGCTTACTCAAAACAAGGTGCCTTACTCTATCAACCTTCCTTCTCCGCTTTTAAAAGTCGGTGGTGAGTCATTTAGGCCTGGTCTAACTATACTGTGTCTGACACGTTTGACATAGGGAGTAAGTGCCTTCCAATTGGAAGTTTTCAACTACCGTTTTCTCTTTATCAAGGTTTGAAGCACTTCTAGCGTTACTCGGCTAGCTATTAATCACCTACTCACTTACATGCACCACTCACCCAGTTCCGATGAAAATGGAATCGGTGAAGATCAAGCTAACTTCTTCCCGAATAAATAATACTTTGATCCCGTCTTTTTCCTTCGCCAGACGAGTGAACTGCACCATTCACACCGCTATACCAGTCGTCATCATCATTATACACGTTAACTAGAAGTGGGGTATATATATACATATATATATATATATATATGTGTGTGTGTGTGTGTGTGTTGTTCCCCATGCTGAGGCTGATGTTGCATTCATGATGCTTCACCGCAGTTGGGTTAAACCAACTTACACTTAAACCAGGTCTTTTAGTGTGGATAAAATTCGTTACATTTTATTTGGTTTGTTCTGCGTACTTGATAATCTTCTCCCGACTTGCACACGTCGCACATGCAAATTGTGTCAAACTTGCGGAATTGTATCGCGTGGTACTTTTTTAAATAACTCGGACATTTTGTACTTATCACGGATTCACTTATAATCAATTTCTTCTATATGCTCATTTAGCGAGTATTTATGTCGTCCTATGTGTTTACTTTATTCGATATCAATATTTTGTGGGATTGGCTGTTGTTTGACATCCCAGGTGTGGCTGCGCTTGATGTGCATGTTGACAAGGTGCCTACCTGTCTATTACCCACTACGTCGTCAATCTGGCTCCATGAGGCAGTTGGTCGTTGCTGGAGAGGACGCGTGCACGGTCCTTGTGGCCGTGTTAGGCCCGAAGACTGGTTTCATGCAGTCAGTGTGGAGCGGACTGCGGTCCAGCCACCGCCCTGTGTGTGCTTGATTCCCCAAATACAGCGTGCTTGTGTTTGCCTGTGAAGGAGTGTGGGCCGGCTCCATTGATGAAACGTGGCTCCCATCCGCATGCCTCCCGGTCTTATTCCTTCGGGTTTACACTGGATATGGGGTGTGTGAATGGAGCTGTGGGTAGTATAGCGCAAGCCATCCATGGTCCCTCTGTAGGCGCAGGCGTCCTGTGGCTTGCCACAGTGACAGGCAAACCCGAAACCAGATGCCGCCAACCATATATATATATATATATATATATATATATATATATATATATATATATATATATATATATATATATATATATACATATGCGTCATCTGTGGTACAGATATTGTGCCATCGGAATCATGGCTGAATAGGAAAACAGTATGAATAATAATAAAAGAGCAACAACAACAAAAGCTATTTTCGTCCAGTTTACCACTTGCAGTTTTTGAAATTTGTTTTTTTGGAGGAGGGACACTGCGACACACCAATGCACACGTCCGCCATTGACCTCGATCTTGAACCATGGCTTCCAAGGTCTCCAACCAGCAAGTATCTGCATCTCTCGGACCGCAACCAGTTAGTCGACAACAACCGGCCAAGTCCAACTGTTTCGTCAGCTTTTTCATGCGACTTCTCCAACTTTCAGCCTGTCCACCAGACTGTCTCTTCCAGCTCTGTGCAGCAACCACAAACAACGCACTGCGCGGTTAATGCTGAACAGGCATACTAAATACGTGTCCCTGCCACCTCACTTGATGCATTGAGACGAGATCCTGGAGCGCGTTGCTTCCACGTCCCAAGACACGCTGTTTAACTTCCACATTGCTTACGTGGTACCACCACCACACACGGACAATAAATCACAGACAGCGGTGCTCGAAGGTGGATAGTCTGCGCTAGTCATCTTTTCGAATGGGCCAAGTTTCGCATCCGTACAACAGTGCCGCACAAACAGTTGCACACTAGACCCGCCCTTTGATGGAGAGACGAATGTCGTGGCGACGCCACAAGTGCCTCAGCCTAGGAAAATCCAACTGGCCAATTGGACTGCTCAAACCC